ATAGGCAAATCGGAATATACAGGACTATTTTTGGATTCATCGCCCTAAAATTGTTCAAAATAGCCAAATCATCACATGAATCATTAAAAGAATTGTAAGCCTGCCTAATTCATTCTAACATCAGAGAAATTATTTCCAAATAGATTCCGTTTAAGTTCAAATGATGGAGATTGTTTTGTATCTAGCCACAATTTGATTCGTTTTGGATTCCCATTTTCCTCCTTGACTAAAACTGACTTTTGAGTCGAATATGAAAAGAAAATTAAGTATTTTCATAAGTTTTCCTAGAACATTTTTTGAGCGTCAGAATCGTTTCCCTGTAATTGAACTAAAAAGAAGCGATTTTACAAGAACAGAATATACTTCAGACACTTCTAAGATTTCCCTAACATAGTGTAAAAGACGCCACTAGGGAATTTTTCATCACACTAAGAAAAGTTATCTGACATAAAGGAGTTGCCTTTCGCAGTTCTACTAATGTGTAAAAACATTTATTCTCTTATATCTTTTGTTAAATTCTATGCGCGACAAACATTCAGAAAATCATTTTTATGGCATATGTAAATACGTTTATTGGCATTTAATTGTCACGACGAAAATAATTGCCCTCGTGTGTGAAGCTGTTAATGGCCCTTATTATAGGATAATTAAGTGAATTGGCAAAATTGCCACTTTTTGTGCAAAAAAAAAAAAATGGCAACGAAAAATAACGTGTTTGTTCATAAGTAACGTATTTAATATGAAACGGTAAAAATTCCACTTAGTCTGACATCTAAAAACTAAATTAGAAACGTTGAAATCTTTGAATTTTGATAAGTTCATAAATATATTGATCGGAATACGTCTTCATGTATGCACTGATATACTGGTCAAGTACATGTAATATCAACAGGATTACGGCCATATCACTAATTGTCGTACGATAATCGAAGTTAAGCACAGTCGAGCGTCGTCACTAACTAGTTTGGTGACCGGTTTACAGCCACATCACGTTGAAACACCAGTTTACTATCACTGAAGTTAAGCAACGTCGAACTTGGTCAATAACTAGATAGACGATCGCTTGGTAATACCAGGTGTTATAAACTGGGATGTGCGGGTGGTGTAATGGATTCCGGCTCGGAATGATGAGACCTAGCGTTCAATCTAGTACTGCGCTTAAATTCATAAAGTTTAGGTACCAAAGAGTAAAGCCCATCAAAACAATTACCATAAAAATATTTATTGAAAAGGCACAGGGAAGCTACATTACGGCGGTAGGAAAGTGACGGAAGTCGAGATGCCAGGTCTGGACTAATAACATAGCAGATTTTTATATGTATTTTATCAAGAATATCTAAATACATAGCAGAAGCACCAGACCAGATATGGCGGCAATATTCAATGCATGGACGAATATTAGACTTATAAAGGTGTAAGATAGATTCTACCGAGAAAAATGGTCTCACAAAGTGGTTCCCAAATATAAATTCAAAATTTAAAATATTACTATGGATTATTTGTAATTGCATGCATGAGTCTCCGGTATAAATAGTTATAAATAATTATTGATGATTTTATTATTGTAATATTTTTGTATTATATCAAGTATTAAGAATATAGTAACTAGGCTCCGCAAATTGGAGGAGAGAGTTATCAATGATAATGTTTTGACTCCAAAGCTGCGGTTATCTCCCTTTAACCCACTTTCTCGGTTTTTTTTTTAATGTACTTTTTCCTACCGAAAATGTGGCCCAGAGAAAAAATAGTTTGAGAACCACTGGTCTAGCACGATACAGTAAGCCAACTTTCTTAGCAGCACCTCTATCAATTGATTCAATATAATCTTTCCACTTCATGTCAGCAGAAAAGAAGTCGTAAGAAGTTAATCTCCTGGTGCTTAGCATCAGCCATACTGATGGAAGGCAAAAAAAGTTCTCAAAAGCAATTAAAAGACGATTAATGTACAGGATTTGTTTTGGTGCATTTATTAATTTACTAGTTGGTCCACTGTAAATATCCCGTTCAGCAGTACAGATTAGTTGTCATTTGCGTAATCTTAACCATTTGGGCATGTCTGGAGTGTGTGAGGGGAGTGTTTGACGCAGTATGCATCTCTGTTCATGAGCGGGAGGAATGGAGGAGAATCTTGGCTGGGAGATTTTTTTTTTTTTTTTTTCAGGTTTGAAGGATGAGGTTGCCAAGGTAACTTGATATCTGGAAATATTTCAATCGGAGCCTGACTGATCGGTCTGGATTAGCCAATCTGAAAGTATTTTTAATCGGGCCCCACTTACAAAGGTTATTCGCTGCTTTTTATCAAAAGCTGTCACCATATTGCTTACGGTGCATCTAACTGAGATATCCTTAACAGAAAGGGTGTCGTGATGAATATATTGAGTGTCGTATATTTGTATCACATCATCATCTGCTTGGCATAATGTTCTCCTACACAATAATAATAAACACTGATATTTAAAATAAAAATATAACAATTACTACAATCTCATCACTCCCTGCAAAAACTAAAAAATCTAAGCAGAAAATAAAAACGCGGTCACTGTTAGACATTTTGATTTTATTTATGTAAACTATTCAGCTATACAATTTTTCTCTACTTTTATCCTTCAACTAATATTGCAGTAAAAACATTGAACAGTTGTTATTGTCGAAGAAATGTTCGTAATCGATTTAATCCAAATCGATATCTAGTTGACGCGTTGCAACATTTATTTTCAATATAAATTATGGAAAATACTTGTTTTCCAACATTTTAAGGAAATATTGCCGTTCACTCTGCTTAAGTCACGTTCCAGTCACGTTCCTGTGGCATCATTTAACGGATTTAAAAAAAAAAATAATTGCCTTTTCGTCAACATAACATATTTGCTTTTATGCTACCTTTTCGATGTAAAAATAAAAGCACAAAATTAGTTTATGATTTCCTCTTGTTAATTACTACTTGCTCTTCCTTGACGAATAAAGTTACGAATTGTCGTTAAATATTTAATGGCAAACTTGATTGAGGAACGGACAAAAATGAACAGGATTCAAGAAGACAGAAGATTGTAGTTATTAAGGAAGCAAAAAATCAGAAGGGAGTTCAACAGGTGGGAAGTGCGAGAAAAAACTGTTGGAGTAGAAGTGGTAGTTGCATCTAGCTATTTAAATAGTAAAACGATGATAGCTAGTTGCCAAACTAGTAGCATGCTTAAATTCATGTCCCAGCAGAGGAAAAAAGAGCTCATCAGAACAGTTGCCATGAAAATATTTGTAGAAAGGATAGAGGGAAGCCACATTACATCTTTAGAAAGTCGATATGCCTAGTTAGAATCAATTACATTACAGATCTTTCTTTGAATTTTGTCAAGAATCTCGTGATGCATTCTTGTAAATAAATCGTCTAATAAACAAAAAGTTACAATATTTTTGTTGTCAATTCTCAAGAAGAAAAAATGTATAAATTCACTTTCATCAAATGTTTAGGTTTTATTACAATTCTAATCATTGCTTTTTAAAGCAGCAAACATTGCAGAGGGAGTGAAGATCCTTAAAATAATAGCGGTGTCAATGGAAAAAACAGTTTTTTTGACACTCCGTTTTTTAGCGCGCACGTATGTATAAGTTTGCCGATTTAATTTTGGATATTTGCTTTTATTAACATTAAAGTGTTACCGGTTATATGAGAGCCTTTTAATGTTGATAATATACGTTTACCACTGTAAACAATACCATTTTGTCACTTTTGAACATCCATATTTCAGATGTCTCTTAAATTTAAGCGGTATTTCATAACAAATAGATAAGAAAAGCTGGCATGACACTCACTTGACTTTTGAATTGATTTCACGGGTAACTGAGGATTACTGTAAAGAAATTTAATTTTTACTATATTTTCAAAAATGACATTGACTCCATTTTTCTTATTTAAGCTCATATATAACCTTTCATATTCGATCGTTTTTATTTTACGAAGAAACACGTGAAAAATTTATTTTACATTTTTATCCCCCCAAATTTCTCTCTTTCCCTCTCTCATGTATTCATAGCTGCTCTGACAAACTTTAAGAGTTGTGATTATGGTGTTTTCGGAAGCTATCTTTGATATTAGAAAAAATCACATCTGTTTAATATTGTCAACAGGATGGGTGCAATGCGTAGCTGAACCTAAGTGCTGTCATGTTCTCGGCCTAGCTAAGACAGCCTTATAAAATATTCTGATGTTTGTTCACTGGATTATATTTTAGGAATTGAATTTGGTCAATAACTTTTCAGCACCCCATATAAGGCGTTTGTGATCGATGACTTACAATTATCTTTCTTTTCGTTTCAGAGGACATCTTATTAGATTTTCTACTTTTCCGCGCGGATCCCTAAGGAAGATTTTTTTTAAAAAATAAAATAAAAATTTTAAACGCTGTTGCGCGACCAATTTATGGTGATAACCCGTCTGTCATTTTCGTCTATTCATAGCAAACATGGGCCGACTTTTACCTTCTTACCCTTTCTTGTTAATTATTTGCATTCTCTGGTTTGCAACAAATTTCATTTTTTTCTCCGAACTGAAATGGTCGACGATGGAAACAGGAGAGATGATGTCTCGTCGATATATCGGCCTCGAGCTGAATGAAAGTGAAATGGTCGAAAAACTAGCGGCCAAGTTGGATAAATTGGAACAGGAACGCTACAAACTGGAAAACCATAAGAAAACCTATAACAATGATCAAAACAATAAAATCGTGGTAAAAAAAGTTGAACGTTTATTACCTTGGCAGAAAGTGTTGCTACAAAAACTGAATCTGGTAAAGGCAAGAGAAGCCCGAAAAAAGAAACGTATTATGGAACTTGTAAAACGTCGCAAGGCTTTCAAGAAACAAACGATTCTAACTTATACTCCGTCAGAGCATCCAGTAAGAAAAAAGAAGATACAGAAGAAAGCGTTAGTAACAAACCTTACTCATTTAGTCAAAGATAATTTGTTAAAGAAGAAAAAAGTTTTCCCAAAAAAGAAATTTTCGAAAATGAAAGTGTTAAAACAGAAACGTATCGACTCAACAAACGTTACCAAAAATCCATTGTTGTTGGAAATTCAAGGAGATTACCCAGGTAAGTATTGATTAGATTAAATAATTGATTATTCAAAATAACTGCTAAATTATCTGTTTATTTCAGCTATAAATTATAGCTCTCCTATGTGTACAGTAAAAACTTTCGATATATTACTCGCATTGGAAAATATTCCTGGCTTGTCAATTACATATTATTTTGGTAGACTTTTAAAACCGTTTTCTCCTTCATAAAATCGTACACAGTTTTTCCATAAAAAGGCGTGACAAAAAACAAAACAAAAAAGTTTTTATTTTTTGTCGCTCGTTGGCATTAGGAGTGTTTAATTTTAACTTTATTAAAAATGATCGTTTTTGGGTTGTCATGAGACAGATGCCATATGAGCAAACATGTTTTAAAAATGTCAAAATTGGGGCATTTTTACTTATTCTAAAATTGAAAACTGAACAAAATCAGTTAAATTTTTGCTATATTGATTTTTTTATTTTAAGAAAAATAAATGCTTATGGAGATGGTACTGCGAATGAGCGAACGTATAAGAAATGTTTTGTGAAGTCTCATACAGGCGATTTCTCGCTGGCCGAAGCCCTACGACCAAGCAGATGATAGCGATGGCATAAAGACATCTTTTATGAATAGTCAATGAAGCAGGAGATATCCAATTCAAGTATTGAAAGTCATTGTCACCAGCCTTGGTTATTTTAAACATCTTGATGTTCTTTTTTAAAAGAATTAAACAAAAATTGGAACTACTGACGTTGATTGGTCCGCTTGTAAAATGGAAAAAATTTGTAAAAGCATATATATATATTTATCGATTAATATTCATTAGACTTTCCCTTGCCTGCGACATTTATCATAATCGAAAAATATTGATTTTTATCATTTTAGCAGGAGTCCTGTTCAGAATATATATACAGTGTCAAATCGATACCTGAATTCTTAAGGAGTTATCTGCACTTTGCTTTCATTTTCAAATGTCTAGTTTGAAACTGCTTACGTCATTGATAACTGCGTACGACTACGAATTATGAAAGAAGAAAACATTACTAATACGCATTTACCAATGACGACGTTGCGAGCGACATATTGGCCCGCAAACAGATATTGAATGACGGAAGACAACAACTTTCTACATACAACGTGTGAAAGCACGTGCGATAGCCTAGCATCGTCAGCTGCCAATCAGGGGAGGTAACACAGTAAGGCGGTACTACCTTATCAACCGAAACATTCACATCGGAAATCGCATTGGGTTGCGAACATGGTTTTATTTAACTTTATTTATTTTCCATCTTGACTAGATCTAACTCGGTGTCTGTTGAGCTGTGATCTGAAGACGATGTGAAGCACACTTCAGGTTCCTTCAAAAGGACAGAAACGATTGACTGTCCAAGGAATCCACGGCACCCAACCTCAATAGGTAGCACATGACATGTCCATCCAGTCGGAACGCAACAATTCTTAGCGGTTTTTCTTTCGCTCGTGCACCTCCTCCCTGTTCTCATTACTACTTAATTCTACTAATACACTTCTTTGAATAAGATTACGCTACAACGTCAGGGTGTGCGTCTGTCTGAATGATGTGTACCGGAAATTGCAGAGGTGTTCTAAGTTCAACTAACACCCTCCAATCACGGGCTCCACTCAGTAATGCCATGTTGGGAGTTATTTGGGTCTTTCGTACAGGACGTTCAAAACAAATCGAAAACTTAAGTCAAAATATATAGCCAAGTTTATTTTTGTTAAAGAGAATACATCAACAAAAATAATGTTATAGGACACTGGGCAAATCATAACTTTGTAAGCTCATGTAGAAGGTAAGAAGAGCGTAGTCCTGAAAAGGACAGTTTTGTAATCGGTGAAGAGTGTTGTCCTGAAAAGAACAGTTTAAAGCATGTCGTTGGTGCTGGCTAAGATAGCAGGAGACGGAGGTCCACTTGAAATGACTGGAGCGTTGGGAGCTGAAGGCCTACTGGAGATGACTGGAGCGGCGGCCAAAGGAGAGCTCGAGATGATGATGGCTGGCTAGCTAGAACTGCTGCTGATGGCTGGAGCCGTGAAAGCTGGCTCCGTGGATCGCCTGGGTATTTACTCCACTGAGACGAGATGTGACACAAGGTCGGGTTTATTGTGGAGAACCAGAGTGCGTACACTCTGGACAGGTACAAAAATTCCCCAGTTCCCGCAACCGTCGTTTGCACTGGCTTCAATAGCGACTACTGATACTCCCTCTCTAGTGCAATAAGGGTGCAGCTGTTCACCAAGCTTGGGCATCTCAAGGTATTATTTTCCCCAGCTGCATCTCTGTCCGCGAACAGAGCCACAACTGAGTTGCACTATACCCGAAGACGCAACTGATGATCATCTCCCAGCAGGGCTGCGGAACGTCTAGGTATTTACCCATTTCTCCCCACTGATACGGAATGCGACAACATGGTCAGACTTAACGTCGGGGACCCGGGAACGTACACTCAGGCCAAGTATAAAAATTGCCCAAGCCCACGCAACAGTCGGTTGCGCTGGCCAGGGTAGCGACCGCCGATGCCGTCTCTAGTACAATGAGGCAGCTGTTCCCCAGGACAGGGCACCTCAAAGTATTATTTTCCTCCGCTGCATCTCTGACCGTAGACAGAGACGTCACTGAGAGATGACAATGGCACTGGCTAAGCTTTTCCTTCCAGTTGTTTTTAAAATATGTGGGTGTGTCGACAGAATACGACAACCTAAACACAGATTACATAAATAAAAACCAAGTCCAGATAACTCTTTATAAAGTTAGGAGTCGACTTGAGACTGTATTTATATTATTAACAGGACCCCGTACCTAGAAAATAAATATATTTCGATTTTGAAAAATGTTGTGGTTTAAAAAAATGTCTAATAAATGCTAATTAACAAAAAATGAATCCCTCCAATTTTTTCCCTATATTTAACCAGTGGACCAGTCAAGTTCATTGTGCTTAAGAATGAATAAATAAATAAATACTGAAGTATATTTCAGTGTGAGATTCGCTATTTAAAAAATGATTTAAATTTATTTAAAAAATTATTCCCCCTTGAATCTCCATTTTTTTTTTTTTTTTTTTTAACGAGCGGACCACTCAAGTTCATTGTCATTAAAGATTTATAAATAAATACTGGATTATTTCCGTGTGAGATTGTAGCGAGGTCCGCGACGAACGATGGGTCAGCAATAAAAATGTGAAGGATTGTCAATCAGATGTAGCAGACCCCCACCACATTTATTTAACTTTGATTAGGAATGACGTGAAAAAGGACAAGCGAAGATGCTGGAGGTCACCATCAAATGTGGCGGTCAAATGCAATTTATATTTGACGTAAAATAGCACATAGCAAAAATAAAAGACAGGACATAATGGTTCAAAACATAACATTTGAATTTATTTGTTTTGATGTACATGCATATAAGGTAAATGTTTGATATTTACGTCTCTTAGATTTGGGAAATATTTGTACCATAGCTCACGAAGTTGAATTAATTATTAAACTGTAGTTTTAGAAGAATAAAAGTTCCTGTTGCATGTTAGGAAATGTGAGTTGGAAAAGTTGGTAGAGTTCAGAAGAGTTAAGAGTTTGTACTTTCGTGAATGTTGGTAATGTTCTTTAACATCTGACCGCAAGGTTAAGACGGGAGCTCTTGAAGGTCACATTTTGGCAGCAAGGAAGGAGACGAATGAAGAGAACAGAGAGAGAAGGCTTACTCGTGTTTTGTTTATATACCATCGTGAATCACGTGACTGGCTCAGATGGAAAATGCGGTAAAAAAATTTCTTCGTGTGCAGGATATCTGATTGGTCGGAATTGACCAATCAGCAAGCTAATTTGAAGGTGATTAACCAATGGATGCGTGTTATATATTTGTAAGATTGTGATGGTGAAAATTACAATAGAAATATGATATTTCTACTAGGGGTTAACTTTAAATGGAAGAGTCCACAACAGGAAAATGGAATGATATGTAGGTGGAATTTCAGGGCTTCAAAACAGGTTCATACCAACCAACCAGGTGAGTTTCATCCAAATAGAGATGTCAGAAGTAGGGACCAATGAAGTTGGAAAGGAGTTAGGGCTGTTGTAATGCAGATCAACCAGGTGAGTTTGTTCGAACAAGTAAATGGAATTAAATTAAGGCCAGGAATTCCAGGAAGATAAAAAGTGGTATTCAGAATTAGTTAAAGGACAATTGTGCTAGAAATAATATTGGATAAGGAAAGCCCTTTAGGATCAGTTGGGAACAAAAATAAATTAAAAATGCAATTCAATAAATTTTAACTCATCAATAGATTAATAATATAATGGCAGCCGGACTGATTAAATTATTTATTCTGAACTAAGATTGTTGATGTCTGAAAAAAAAAGTATTTGTCTGCAAATTTTTATTGTCGTTTTGGAATTTCAGGCAATTTGAAAACTGGAAAAAAAATTTTTATTAGAATGGGATTATGGAGTTTAATAAAAAAATTGGCCTTTTAAAATAAATACAGATAAATAATTATCAGTGGAAAGAAAATATCTGAAAATTTAAAAATATTTATATTTTTTATTAAAAAAATTGATATATTTTTCTTTTTTTTTTTTTTGAAAACCATGTCCCCACATAACTGGGTGGGAGGATGCTTTGGGAGGTTTTAGCTCTTAAAACTTTTGTTTTGTTATTTCTCCTAAAACCTGTTCTGATATCCATTTGTTTCAAAATATCATTTTTTCCGCCTCTTGTCTGCTATCTGTCCTTAAATTATCAGATTTTCTAAGCCCCCCTTAAATATGTGTTTTACGATATTAACTATCTCTTGTAAATGTTAAGTATTTCTTTTTGTTTCAATTTTAAAAAATTAAAAAATATTACAAATCATGCTACATTTCGGTCCATGATATCTAAAACATCCTTCTGTAGAACCACATTTCTGTTTCTTCGAAGTTTTTTCTTCAAGTTTGAAGATCGTCCAGCACCAGCTGCCATACTGGAACAGATATTAAAACAGTTTGTATTCTTTTCCTTGTTTCTAGCATTTTTT